TTGCTCTCTCTCTCTCTCTACCTCTCTCTCTCTCTTTCACTCCCTTGCTCAATCTTGCTCTCTCTCTCTCTCTCTCTCTCTCTCTCTCGCTCTCTCTCTCTTGCTCTCTCCCTTCTCTCTCACTCTCTCTCTCTCTCTCTCTAGATCTCTTGCACTCCCGTACTCTTTCTTGTTCTCTCTCTCTCTCTCCTTCTCTCTCTTTGTCCCTCTCTCTCTCTCTCTCTCTCTCTCTCTCTCGCAAGATTTACATTGAGTTTTAGAGTTAGTTTTGTGTGGAAGGTTAGATGCTTGTTAATCTATTGAATTTATTAGAAATAATTCTATATTATTGTCATAATGTTTGAACATAGATGTTCTTTCAATCTTAATGTATTACACCCAGGCTATAGACTCAATACTGTCTTAATAAAATATTCATTATGTCTATGGATATGATATCAAACTAAATACAATTTTTATGACTACTTATTTTAATCAATATTAGGCATCAGAATAGATTTATTTATTGCTTTCATAATTATACATGAATGATTATAAGTTTGCCTCGGCATAACGGACTCGAACCCGACCCGAGACCTGCATTTGATAGCCCTAGTTTTGATGCGTTAGGAAGTATGGTTTATCAAGCTCACATGAAATGGTTCAAGATGGGCATTTGGTTTTTAATTTTTTCTTTCAAGTGTATGCAACAACAACATCAAATTTTTATCCCACTACATGAAGCATCTACACGTATCAATTTTCTCCACTGTCTTGTTAAGAGTTAAATTCTCATTTAGTGTATTAGTAGATGAAATTATTACTTTTGATGCATGTTTGATTGAGGACAAACAAAATGGAAAAAAAAAAATCCTTCATTAAAAAAGTGCCACATGATCACAACATTACTTCAACAAACTTTTTTTTTTTTTTAATCTTTCATTACTTCAACAAACATGTATTGTAATCTTTCATTATATTTAAGTGGTGCAATTATACGTGAAACATATCCTTTTCATGAAAAGTAATTTCAATTGATTATTAATCACATTAAAACCAAACACCTAAAGAGATAAAATGGTGTAAAAAAATGAAAACTAAAACAATATATATATATATATATATATATATATAGAACATATAGTAATAATAGAAAGTTTTCCTTTCAAAAGTTTCCACTTCAATGTGTAGTAATCTGACAAAATTACAACCTAAATACAACATTCCAATGCGCTTATCTCCACAAAAGAAAATTCAATGACTGATTATCAAAAATATAAAACTCTATCGCTTTTGCTAGAACATTAAGGCTTCCTTTGAGACAGCTTCTTTATTGCATTTGAAATCAATTTTTTAGTTCAAGAAATTATTAAACTAAAAAATTATTTTAGAAAGCAACAATAAAGTTGTCCCAAACGAAACCTAAGCCATTCATAATGACTTACTACTCAACACCATTCAACTTATACACAATTGTTTCCTCCAACTTTCACATAACAGCAATGCATATAAACTTTTTAGCAATTTATTGCTTGCCTTTGAAGATTTCACAGTATCGTTCTCTCTCTGTCTCTCTTTTTAAACAGAGAGCAACAATTTTTCAACCAAAATTCTATGCCGGATTAAAGGGTGAAGAAGCTCGGTGGTGGGAACAAGAGTGGCAGCTGGGTCATGGAGATGTTCCCGGTCTGCACACTATCAATCACACTATCTTCAATATGCGCAGGCTGAACCTCCATGATTCTCTCCGGCACCACCTTCCTTCCTCCTTCCACCCGAGCCAACACTTCAAAGTGCGCTGTTGCTTTCTCAGGCTTCGTCTTCCAAGATGGGAACCGCGACCAATCCGCATCTCCATCGGCAAGCTTCTTCTCCACAGCGAAGCTCATCTTCATGTAAGTCTGCGCTGATACATCTGCCTTCAGCAGCCTGAACTTGCCATTCTCAAATCCCTTTTTGCCAAGGACTGAAGAAAGTAGTTCTTCGAACCCTCTAAGGTTGGAGGCCGAGCCATTCAATGAGGTGAAAGGCCAGAGTTTTCTGCCTTTAGACAAGTTCAAATCTTCAGGGGATGCAGGAACTGCGCGGGAGGAGGACAGCTCAACTAGGCCGGGAGAAAGGCGCTTTAGCTTGAGCTTGTTTTTGGGAGAAGTGGAAGTAGAGGATGTGAGGGATGAGGGGCCAATGATGCGAAGAGAGACGAGTGGTTGGTCGGAGGAGCGGGCAGAGCTTCGGAGGGCCTCGGCTATGTTCAGGAGGCCAGACGCAACATGGCTGCCATCATGGAGGTTTGTCCGGTTAAGGGGGAGGGGAAGCTCAAGAGGGTGCCTCAAGCTTACAGAGCGAGCGCCTTTTATTGTTACTGCTGCTCCATCGGAGAGAAGAACCTTCCTGAGGGTTCCAGCATCAACATCATGCTGCAGTGGTAACAACAAATGAAAAAAAAAAATCACCTTCTTAGCGTAATTTTTAGTTGATTTAAATGTGTGTATATTTTGGGAGCATAATCTTCATGTATCTACCAGAGAGTCTCATAAACTTTCTGAAAAAAGAAAAAAAAAATTTTCCAAGTTTGGATCAAGCATATATTATCAATCTGAACGTTACCACAATAAAATCTCAAATATCCAATATACTTCTCAACTAGCTCAAAATGCTACTTTTAAGAAAAAAATTGCAGAGAAAGAAGGGCATATATACACAACTCTCCTTGGCCTATTGGTTGAGAGCTTAGGCTTCCAACTAAGAGGTCCAGGATTCGAGTCTATGTGTATGCGTTGTGTGTGTGAGTTTGCCTTAAATGGCCTAAATGTCCCAAAAAAAAAGAAAAAAAGAAGGGCATATATTTATATTAAATATATTAGGTGGGAATTTTCCTAGAGGCTTCAGAAATCCTATACGCTAGTACAGGTAGTATTTTTTATGTATAGGTTAAATTCAAAAAAAGGTAGCTGCAAATTGAAAGAAATTCAATCCAAATTACCAATCTCCCGTTTAAAAGTAATCAAATTCTGTTAGAATAATTTCAATTAAACATAATGGATTCACGAAATCAAATTTTCTAATTTGCTGATCAGAACAACCTATAGAGCCACAAAATTCACAAGAAACGATCAATAATAACTTGCAAAAATTGTCAAATATCAACCACTGAGACCAAGTTAATAAAAAATCAACTGCCGTTTAAGAAAATAAAACAGGAAAGAAATTCTTACCGGCAAGGCGAGCCTCATATCATCCGCATCCTGAATCCACAGCTCCATCGGCCCCGCAATCTGGAAGGGCGGCAGCACCGGTGCAACCACCCCCTCCCGACGGCTCTTCATCTCCGCCAATGCCTTCTCTTCATCGCCACTGTCCGCAGGTGGTGGCGGCCGGAATATAGGAAGATCAACAAAGTCCCAGCGGTTCACATCCTCCAAAAGTTTGAACGGCACCACCTTCTTGTCTACTTCTATATCAAATTCGTACGCTACCGAGTGCCCCACGAGAGCGTCCCTTACATCGAAACCGGATACTTTGAAATCCTCCGCACCCTGGAACCCTAGCCCCTTCACGATTGAATCCCTCAAATCCTTTATCAAACCCAACCAACAAAATCAGGGCCTCAAACAATTTACTACAAAAAAAAAAGGTTAATGAATCGTTTTTGCTTACCGAGATTGCTTTTGGTACCGGAGGTGCTAGGGTTTCGGAGCCGATTAGAGCGCTCGCGGCTCCGATCCAGCAGAGGAGGAGAAATCCGGCAAAAGTACGAAATTCGACCGCCATCGCAATATAAATCCGATCAATTTTAATATATACAAAAGCAATTGTATGGATTCCTCTTCAAATTTAAAAGATTTGGAAGAATTGGGGAGAGAGGCAGATGAAGAATAGAATGCTTTGATTTTCTGAAGAAATTTCTTTTTAATAGAAGGAGAAGGATCTGGAACGAGGAAGGTCGGACCGTGGAAGGAATGAGTAGCGAAAGCGTGACGCGGAGGACGAATGTGATTGGTCGAAAACTATGAAAAGGCGTGGCAGAGGTTTCGAATGATTGCCACGTGGAACGTGGGCATTTGGAGGCTGGACTGGTGGATGCAAGTTTTCCAAAGAATGAAGAAAATTGGGAGTAGCATTCGGAGGTCCAGATTTTGAGTGAAATTTACAAATATAATGTGTGATTCAAAAGTTAAAAAAAATATGATATAATTTAATTCATAAAAATTTTAATAAAAATTATTAAATTCTCTCCCTTCCCTCTTTCACCATAGTCATAATCTTATCATCATCTTTTGTCTCATCACATATCTCATGTGCAAATAGTCATAAAACTTAAAAATCTCCAAGATACCAATTGCGATGTATTCGACACGACAAGCGGAACCCGTGCCTGTTTTTCTTAGTGCGATAGGAGAAGTTTGTTATGCAAAGCGTAAGCCCTATGCATGCTTTACATAGTATGACAAAGTAAATTTAAGCACTCATAGCCATAATCTCACCATCATCTTAATTACATTTCATAAATAAGATATTTTAATAAATAATATCCATCAGCGCGGGGATCTTATTTAAAAAAAAAAATGCCAATAAATTTTAGAGCGAATCACTTATATCTTAAATTCAGATAAAATATAAAAGTTTAAAATTTCATAAAATTCAAATAATTCAAACGAAATTTACTTATAAGGAATTAGTAACCCAATTTAAAATAAATTTTATTTTATTTAGTTTTTAAATAAAGTAGGGGGAGAATTTTTTAGTAAACCGCATATTACAATTTAAATTTAAAAAGATAGTTATTTGTAGGCATGTTGTGGGAGTCATAGTTCAATTGGGTATATGTATGTGTTCTCTTATTGCTAATATTTCAATAAACTCATTTACAAATTACTAATTCAGCAAAATATCACAAAAATATTATATGTTTTGGGCTTTTACATAAATTTGCACCTATTATTCTTAATACATGTTTTCTAAATTTATCAGCATGCAAAATTTAAATATAGATCGACGTGCATATTTGAAAAGTGGACCTTGGAATTCTCAGAATCTAGATATTCCGGCCATTAATATTCTTTAGATCGACGTGCTCTGATACCAATTTGATAGAAAACAGTCCAAAATAATGAAAAACATAGCAGAAATTTGCAGTAAACAACAGTTTTTCCTCAAAAACTGTAGGAAATATGAGAGAAAACACTTAAAATTCACTAGAAGAAGAAGAATAATAACACAAGGTTACACGGATCTTCAATTCAAGAGGAAGAACCAACTCTCCAAATCTCTAGCTAAAGACTAGAGCCCAAGCACCACACGAGATCTCAATTTAAGATTCAAAATCAAGATGGAATCCTAACCCACCAAGAGAAACTAATTAAAACAAAGAGGATAAATACAAAATCACTAAACAGCCCTTAATTTAAATTTTCCCTCCAAAAATAATGCTTAATTGAGCTGTGGGTTCCACACCTAAGCTGCCCCCTCCCTCTCCCTGGTTCCACCCCCTTGGGCCCTCCGCCTGTAGGCAAGAACCGGTCACTAGGGACCAGTTCAGCAGGTTCAGCCGGCCCCATTCATAAATTCATATCTTACTCTGTCAGAAAATAGAGGAATTTGAGATGTTCTAATGTTTAATTAGCTTGATTGTAAATAAAATGTATTCTATTCACACAAACATCAATTTAATGCCTAATACAATGCGGATAATTTCAACCTTCAAACAAGTTCCAAAAAACTAGATCAGAGTTCATGCTAAGCGCTGTAAAAAAACTGTCCTCAACCTGATTTTCTCCAGTTCAGACTGGATGAGATTCTGGTTCATCCAGTTTAGTGAACAGACTGCACTCGATCCAATTTTTCATAAATATTTGGACAGAGTGCTTGTGGTTGATAAAGGAAATTAACTTTACATAAAACAACATACAAATTTAAAGGGGTAGAGAGACACAGCTCATCATGGCCTATTGGTTGAGAGCTTATGCTTTAACTAAGAGGTCCTGGATTCGAGTCTTTGTGTATGCGTGGTGTGCGTGAGTTTGCCTTAATTGGCCTAAATGTCCCCAAAAAAAAAGGGGGGGAGAGAGAGAGAGAGAGAAAAGAACTGTACAGATTTGAAAAGTGGACCTTGAAATTCTCAGAATATAGATATTGAGATCTCACGCAAGACCATTCTGTTCGATAAATGAAGTTGGACAAATGCGAACAGGTAGATGAAGCACTCACCAAAAATGATGCCCAGAAGAACCGAAAAGGCTCCAGATAACGATTGATTTTCTCCAAAATTGTCTTTTAAGTCTATGTATGTGGAATTTGTTTCTCTGAATGGTACAACTTCATTTCATTCTGTAGATCAACATTGCATGGATCCTGCAAAAAAACAAGCAAATTAACAAACATGAATGACAACGCATTCAACTGAAAGATTAGAATGCTTTGGCATCTTACAGTTAAACATTAACCAGAAATCTATTTGCTAGGTTAATTTGCAAAAGCATATTTTTGTGCCTCATAGAACTCCAACAAAACATAACATAACAAAAAAAAAGGGGGAATAAAGAAACATGGTACGATTAAAACGTATGAAAATACCATTAGCAAGAATGCAATTTGACCTTAGATTGCTGCCCAACCGCTTCGCTGTATGAGGGAGATGAGAAACTATCTTCACGACATGGAAAAGCTTGTGGTCTAATTGAAGGGCAGAACCCACAAGCATTTAAATTAAGCTTTCCAGGTATACAGGGACATTTTACAGGCTTTTCACTTGCCCACTGTGTCTCCACGCCCAAATGTGCTGGAGAACAATGGTTTGAAGACAGTAGGTAATAGGAGCTATGGTGCTCATGTCGGCATATAGTGTGCGTATCAGAGTGACCATTGAAATAAGCAGTAGAGCTGATATCTTGATGATGCTGAAGAACACAGGACATTGATGCATTGCGATGCCTGCTTTCATGAGGTTGAACCATGCCTTGAAAAGATAATGGCTTCTTGTTTAGGGATCCAGAAGCAGGGATAGTCCAATTTTCTATTGTTATTCCTTGTTTAGCAGCCAAATCCAATATTTGCTTCTGCCCGAGTCCTAATCCCAAGAGCAAGTTCCAGAGGTTCCTTTGTGCTTCTCTTTGATTGTGTATAACTTGATCTCGCATGGCTATTTCAAACTGCAGCTCAGTATTGGCCATACCCTATATTATTTAAGAGTGTTTTGAATGCGTAATCAGCATCTCTTCACAATGCTTAAGACTTTTGATACATAAACAAGGATATCAAAAGGTTTCTTCTTACCAGAAGCCTGTACTGGCTGAGAATATGCAAGTAGGTTTTGTTTCCATTGTTGCTGATGGCTTCCTCTATCATGTTTTGAAGCTGGCGACGATGCTTCTCATTAGCTTCAATATCCTGAAGAAAATGAATTCAATATTCATTCATTGGAGCTACAAAAATGTGAAAACAGACCAGCAGAGGAGACTCAAGAACCTTCCGGTACACAGTGCCAGTCTCTTCATTGTCACGTATGTTATCAAGAATAAGTTGCCTCCTTGATTTCAGCACTAGAGCAATTGCATCATCCTTTCCAAGAAAACATCAATCCAAGAACTAATTAGCAGATGAAAATGTAGATACTAACTACTCGTCAACCAGTTTTTGCTAGAGGAATAAATCATGGTTTATGCAACATCATAATCAAGTTTGGTTCATTATCCCAAAATGCTATTAAACAGGTAGTCTGTAGATATTAAGGAGCAATTACACAGGATAACTTTCAGAGCTGTATACAACCTCTTTTATAAACAAGGAATCAGAACAAAGAATTAATAAAAGAGTAACCACTAGAAAAGGTTTGAAAATAGTTATTAATTAAAAATATTCTCCAACCAAAGTACAATAAATAAATAAATAAATATAGTCAGAGTGTACTCTACAACAGTTTTTCTTATTAAACTGTTTCTTGCAATTATGATTCGAGAGGCCACCAATATGCCTTGAACAGGTGCAGGTTTGTTTACGTACAGCAATCTTTCAAGAAATTTAAATATATATGATTCAATGTAAAGTGTTTAACTATTATTGAGAGATACGAGATCACTAACCTTATCTTTGATGATGGCATCATCTAGGTGTTGCAGTTCAGTGCGGTTTCGAAGGTTTGTTTCCTCCAGCTCAAATAATGCCTTCTGTAGATTTATGCGTTCCTGGACATTTTCACTAGTTTCCTGGCTTAGAGTATTTAGCCAAGAAATCTCACCATCTGAATTTTTCTCAACAGATTGTACGTTGACGTGAGATTCCTTCTCAGCTAGTTCCTTTCTTAAACGACAAACTTCCACCTACACTTACCAATTTAGAAAATATATTATCAATAATTAGAACATATTCATGTTATTCATAAAAATAGTATTACCTGGAGATTGTCTATCATTTTTTGGTAATCTGCAACATGCAGGTCGATAATCCCAATGTTTTTCTGAAAGAAAGAACAAAGTTAGTATTAAAAAATATTTGTTTATTGGTAATATGTCATGTATTTCTGAAGCAAAGATGCAGTAAGAGTATTATAATTTTCATTTATTTCCTTAGATGTTCAAGGTTTATGTTACAATAAATTTTGATTTTAAGAAGCTAAAGAAAATTCAAGCTATTACAATACAATCTTGTGATCTAATGCTTGCAAAAAAAGTAGCCTAGGGTGTTAGATTATAATTAGCTTACATGCTATATGATGTGAAACAATGATGATAAACAAGAATTGCTTTTAAGAAATTAGTAAAAGGTGAACTTTGCTTGGCTATGCTTCTTCAAGTTAGATCTCAGAAAATTCCATGAAAGGACTAAATAACGATAAGCGATTATAATTGAGATTACTAGGATACTTGCAAAATAACAACAACAAATAAATGACTAAATCAAATGGCAAGTTAACAAAGTCCACAGTTTAATAACTAGATCGTTCACCTTGGGATCCCTCACTCACACTCTTGATAGTTATTGGCTTAGCGGAAGAACCTTGCAAGCAAACTTAGAGACGCCACTAGAAGACATGTGATGCCGAGGGTGCTAGTCGCCGGGGAGGGAGTCGGAGCTGGAACAACGGGTGGTCGTCTGGTGAGAACCCACGGTACTCTAGGTTGTTGGAGTTCAATCGTCTCGGCGAGGCAGTAGATGATTCGGTTGACGTAACTTTCCACCGAATCATCGTACTCCCAATCTAGCTCGTAGAAAGGAGAACGGAGAATGTCGATCTCTCCTTGGGCGTTGTAAGCAAGGCAGAAATCGACTTCAGGATCGGTCATACATGCTTGCCATGAGAGATGAGAGAGTACAAGTGAGGAGAAGAGGAAGAAGAGGTAGCGGGTGGAGAGAGAGGTTGTCGGTTTGGGTAGAGGGGAGACAGGTGGGAGTTAGTAATCTGAAGTTAAATTCAGATTTTTCAAAGACGGGGGAAGAGATTAATTTGAATTTCAAATTTTATCCAACAAGGCAATGGGGCCGGCGGCTTATGTGGGCATTAAGGGGGAAATTAAATGTGATTGGAGCTTAGATTGGAGAGAGAAAGGACCCAATAAAGGGGGCCGGCCAAATAAGAGGGAGGAGAGGAATTTATTTTAATTATGTGGGCCCCCCAAGGGAATAAACAAAGATTAAAATCAAATCTGAATTTAATTAGAAAGTTTCCTAAATGGATTTCTAGCAAAAGGAAAGATTTTGAATTCAATTAATTAATTGAATTATCAATAGGAAACTTTTCTAATTATTTTGGATTTAATTTAAGGAAGGAAATTAAGGCCCTTGAGTTTGAATTTCAAATGTTGGGAGCAAGGTGGCCGGCGGGTTGGGCTTGGGGATGGCAGGGAGTTGTGGGGGTGGCTGCCGGCCGCCGGTTTGCTGCAGTTGTCGGCGGCGTGGGGTAGTGGGGGAAGGCGGCGGGTAGGAAGTCAAAGGGGGTGGGGGGGCGTCGGGTGGAGGGAGGATGAGGGGTTTGCCGGCGTATGGGGAGGAGATGAGGGAGGAGGAGAATAAAAAAAAAATAGAAAACAAAAGAAACCAAGAGCTCACCCGTAAGTGAACTGTTGGGTATTTCCTTGGCCACTCCTAGGCTTCTCCACTCTCATGAACTCACAAAGAGATCACTAAGAAACAAAGTAAAATTTCATTCATCAAATCATTAACCATTACAAAGCTAAGAGACCTTAATATATAGGCATCAATAAAAGAAAAACAGAAAGACACAAGTGCCCTCGGGGCTACAATAGCGAACCACTACCCATAGAGGAAAACTGGGAAAATATAAAATGCAAAAAATAAATAAAATACAAAATATATCAAAAGTAAATGCTCTGGATCGTAGCCGTCGATCTACGACTCCGACTACGATACACATGTCGAAATCTCTGACTGATGTCCTCATCACTATAACTATAAACCACATGTAAGCAAACATAATCCTTCACTAATACATCTATTGAAACTAAGATAATTTCCAGCATGCATGAACCATTGGCACGGGATAAGATGGCTAACGCTAGGGAATCCTAGCAGCCATAGTTTAAACCCTTGTCTTTGCAATTTTTTAGATTCTAAAAGAATGGTTAAAGTCAAATTGGAGTACACATAAGAAAACGAACATCTTTGTAACACCAAGACAAACGTCCTGACAATGTAGGTCGGGTCATAAGATATTGCAACAGGTTGACTCTGGAAATCAAGCTGATTGAATGAGAAAGCATGTAGTATCTTAATTTTTGGACTACAAAAACTAAAGCAAGACAATGCTTCTCGATCGAAGGATATCGGATTTCGGTAGGAAGAAGTCTTCAGCTACGGTAATAGAGAGTATTCTCTTTACCCTCGTCATTGACTTGAGCTAACAGAAAGAAATGATTATCAATAACAGAAAAAGATGAGCGTTTTAGTCTCAATTAAATAAGTATCTATGAAGAAGTCCAAATACTCAAAAATCCAAAAAAAAAAAAAAGCAAAATGACTGCTATTACATGGACATGTGTCTTGATTTCCTTAGCTCGGTCAGCATATTTCAGAGTATTAACTGTATGATGATACTGATCATCCGCAGGTGATATGGTGGCAATCATTACGGTTTGAGAGTTTCCACTAAGACCATCCTTTAATATCCGAGTAAGCTTGCTGCAGAATACCAGGTATAAGACGCCTGTCAAGACTAAATAAAAAGTCTCATCTTGTATAGCAAAACATGCCAGGTACCTATTCCTATAAGGGACATATGCAAGACCCTTCTTCTGGTGTTTTCCCAAGGCATTGATGCAGTTTGCCAAAGCAAGAAGTGAGCGATTAATATTGGCTCCATCTCTAAGTTTCTGGCCTCCACTATTAGTTTCAGAAGCTCTTTCACTGAAAATTGAATGACAACACGGTTTCAAAACAAAAAGGTAAAAAATAAATTTTAAAAACAAAGTGTGCCATGGAAATCACACAACCTGCCAGCTAGATCAACTAGTGCAAGCTTTCCACGCAGAATCTGATTGCGGTTTTGATTTTTCTGTTTCCTTTTCACGTTTATCTCCAGTACAGCATGTGAACTGTTGATGCCAGTTAGAGACATAAAAAATCACTTTAAACTAGCGTTTAATTCCAGTGTCATGGCAAAAATTATTTTTTACATGCCCTGTAACAAGGCAAGTCAGCAAGAAAGCCAGCAACAAATTGGAAGTAGGGACAGGTGAAGAAAGTTCAATAAATTGTCATGAAAGCAAGATAAAATTCACATTCACTTGGGAAGAAGATACAAAACGCTTTAATATGTTTCTGCACTGTGTTAATCTTGTCCAGTGTGCAAGAAAGGTCTCAAAACCCTAACAAATCATTAGAATTTTGAAGGGCAGGAACAATGTATAAGCTATAATTCTGTAGCTTACCGTGATGAAGTTGCATTGGCCTCTGTGCTTTCTGTCTTACGCCTACTATTTCCAAGATTTAAAAGCTCAAGAATTCTGTCAGCTGATTGAACCTGAGGAAATTGACTAATAAATAAATGACAAGAAGAAACCGGGCAACTACAAAGTAAACTTGAAAATAGAGCATCCAAAGAGAAATAAATAATACAAATAAGAGGCACGTAATCCTTTCATGATTAATTTCGTTATCTAATGGCATAAGCATCGAAGAATAGGACTACGTTTCAGAACCTAATTTGAAATTTTATTTTGACGGTATCTATGGAATTTATTGCCATGAGGTGGACAATTTTATATAAGTCTTTCAGAAAAGCATTGGACCCAAATTCAATCTATAGATGTTGGAAGCATTTCTAAACCGAGTCATTGAGGTTTCTAAGTTTCATATTTTATCCAAACATTAATACTTAAAATTCCTTAGAGCCAATTGTGGACCCCTGAAAGGACACCGCTACGGCTGCAGGATTGCAGAGGGGTATACGGCCGCACCTACCCTGAGGGATAGAGATGATCGCAGACCTCCGCGCTCATCGCAAACGGGCCGATGGAATGACAGATTAGATCGTGCATACGACTGACCATTGAGGATAGCGGCTCTCTCCAGCGCACCCCGATGGGTAGTAATATACCCGACCTGATTAAAACAACGGGTTTCCCCCACCCGATACATCAACTTGAAGTGGGGTTTATTAGATGGTGGAATTCAGTTTCCCACGAGTGCAAGCCCCCATGGTTAATTACATCTCAGGCCGGAGCCCGAGAAAACTCTCGCCTTTCCAAATTGGGATTGACACATAGGGCTAAGACTAGGAAATACTACTCATAAGGACAGAAAGGGCTCAAATGACTCAGTCAACATGCGTGGTTCACACCAACATTCGGAGGGACTAAGGCAGTGAGAAGAAACTGGAGAAAAGAAGATCAAGCATTCAACACATACGTAAGAGAAAGATGGAGGTGACGTCATCCATGCGACGCAGATAAGCAATATTTATAGTCCCTGAAGAATAGGGAACTTACCCACTATTTAGGCATACTACGAGACTGAATGTAGTAGCCTTGAATCCTAAATCTAAGTTGGGTTTAGTGTTCTATAAACAACACTGATACCTGCGTCCTGGCTAATGCAGTGCAAAACCTAGACTTATCCCGACCTGGATTGGGAAGCCAGTTAACCACCTAATCAATTTAAAACCATGATGTCAAGTCATTTATGAAAGATGGATGGGTGGTTTAGTTTTTGGAAGTTAAGACCAACATCTAGAGAGTTTCATAATTGGCCTTGTACTTGTGTCGGGTAAATGCCCCTAGCTAATGAAATTAAAATTTTAATTAAATTTGTTTCTAATTCAATGCATGCTAGTTGAAGGACTAAATCATGAATGCTTTAGATTTTTCAAAATAGGTTTATTATAAAAATAATTTTTAGAAGGATATTAGACTTCCCCAGGTCCGGCACCTCATCCTCATAGGCCAGATTATCCGGACTCTACCCGCAGGCGGGGAAGTGTCTCAAAGCAAGGAGAAGAATGCAGTAATATGCATGCGACCTCGAATGACTCCGACAATTCCCTGGATTCGTTAAGTTTCTATGTTATTTAAATTTTAAATATTATTTATGAGTAGAAAAATTTATAGTTCTTAGAGAGCCTAACGAGATCTAGGCTAAAACAAAAGCGGCATGCAGGTCATCAATAAACTTTGAAAAGAAGGTAACCCTAGAGGCACAAAATTATAAATCAAACACATTGAAATAATCAAACTAATCAAATAAATGTTCATAAGCCAACTGCCCTTAATTACAACCTAGGGTCTGCATAAAAGTAAAGTGGTCGGGCACCACTGCCAACAACCTGAATTTTTAAACCTAGAAATGACGCAAAGGACTTTGAGTGGGATATTGGGTCTTCAAGTCTCCAGTCTTCTTGGATTTCTTCTCCTTAGATCTCTCTTCCTTAGACTCATTGGATCTCTCCTCCTTGGATTATTTGGATATCTCCTCCTTGGACTCCTTGGATTCATCGTGGCTTGAATATCCAAACGAAGAGACAATTCCCCCCTCAAGGGGTATTGCCTTTTCTCTTTGGATATTTAAAAGCCATCCAAACTCGATCTTCCAAATAAAAGAAGACTCCCCTTTGAGAATGTCTTCTTCTTTTGGAATTTGAGTTGGATAAGAATACCCCAACTCAAAATTGCATTTTCATAACTCAAACAATTATTACATTAATAGAAAGCAATAAATTCTAGACTCTCCTGCAAGGTTATCCTAATAAAAATCCCAAGCAGTTGATATATCACAAGCAATTTATATATAAAGTAAAAAAAAATGCTCATCACAGCCACACTTGGTCATGCTTTTATTTATGAGGGCTAAGCAGTCCACCTGTAGCAGTTATGATTATGATTTTATTTAGCCCTCATTTATTTAGGGGGGCTGAGCAATTCTGAAGTGTCTGCACAAAACATCATTAGTATTTTTAAATCATGACAGTTGCCCCCCTTTTATTTAGCTCTGCATGAGCATGATCACCTGCAAGAAAAATAATATATCGTTCCTAACCTAGGGGTAGATATAACGCACAATCACATCAATTCCCATAGTGCAATAAAAGTAAGCAAACACAGCAATTTCATTTTTCACAACAAGCAATAAAACCACAGAAAATCTGGCACATAATAGAAAAATAAACATTGGCTTAGCCTAAGTCTATAAGTGATGCCTTAGCAAACAATTCTATGTCTGTATAAGGCTTGTGTGGTTTTGAATAGATCCAATGTAAGATGATTAGTTCAAGTTGCCTAAGGTTAGAATCTGTTGAAGGTCAGAAAAAAAAATTTTAATTAAAGTTTAAATATTAGTGAGTTAGAGTTAATTTTAGTTAATTTAATTTGTTGATTCATTTTTAATGCTTAGAATAGTGATATTTAAAATTTAAGTTGCATTAGCCAATTTTGGAAAGTCTCAGGTCCTCCTAGGTGCTGGTTGAGGGGGTCTGAAAGGTCACTTTGGGAGATATGTTAGGTTTGGGATTTCTAACATTTTAGATAAATACTAGGGCTTAAGATGAGTAGTTAGGCTTTTAGTTTGCCGGATTTGAAATTTCTATGCGAAGTTATGATTTTTAAAAAGTTTTGGGCAATTAATGAATTATTAAAACTGTCTAATTAAGAGTGATTTTATGGTTTTGATCCAAATCAACTCCAAACTGATTGAAATCATCCCCAAAGGTCAGGAATGACCTAAGAAAGTGTTCCCAAGTGTTTGGGGAAAATTTAAAAATTTTAATAATTTTTAATTATCTAAAAAGGACAAAATGGTAATTTCCAATTATGGTTAAATTAAGGATTAGATTAAGGTCAAACTAAGAAGCCTTATTTATCACAAATTAAGGACTAAATTATGAACAATTCAAGCTATTATGAGTATTTTTCTGAGTTAAAATGGATTTATTATAATTTTTAAAAGGTATCGGGCCCTAATTAACGGGTAAATTAGGGTTTGTTAATCAAAGGGTCTAAAAGCTCCTAAAAATTTCTAGAAAATTCAGGAATGTTTAAGATGTCATTAAGTTTAAATGTTGAATTTTTCATATCAATCAGTGATCTATCCTAGCCCCTAGAATTTTTCTAAGTTCGCTAGACGGGTCCTTAATTATTATCCTTAGGATGCCACTACGTTGAGTAGGTTTAAACTGAGTTTTAAACTAACCCTCAATGTAACAATGCAAGGGATACACAAAAGCAATAAACACATCATGCCCTTAGATCTAGGAGAGCCTAAACTAAGTGCTTGTGCATCATACACATATAAAGTATAGTAAAAGAAAAGGAAATGCGCTTATCAGTGAGATTAGTGAATGATTGGGACTCAATCACCCACTAATCCACCTCTCCGTGAATGCTGTTTACATACACAACCTATGTTTAAAATTTCACAAGTAGTGGATCCCCCAAAATTAAGGTTTAAAATATAAGCAATTTTAAAGAAATTTAAAATACTTATAAATATATAAATTTTGAAAAATAGGGTAATTAAAAATAAATCAATTTGTAATAAATACATATAGGGAAGATCCACTGGTCACCCTAACGAGATTTTAAAAATGTTTGAAAATAATTTGTAATTTCAAAATAATTATTATAATAATTATCTAAATAATACTTAAATAATCAACATATTAAATAATACAAGAAATATGACAAAAAAATAAAATTTGTTATCTGAAAATACTTTTAAAGTAAAATTCATAATTTTCTGAAAAATCCAAAATATTATGCATCAAAAACGAATTCAAAACCAATTAGTTATAAATTTTTGAAAATTAATAATAATAATAATAATAGATCATTAATAGTAATAATAATAAAACAGTAACAAAATATTTAAAACTATAATTATTAAACTAATTATGATTAACATAATAATAATTGAAATGGTTTTACTTAAAATAACAATATTGATAATAATAAAATAATTCAAAAATCACTATTTTAATTATATTTAAAAAAATAGATAACATTTTTAGTTGAAAGTAATTTTAAATTAAAGAGAACAAAAATACGATCAATTCTGTATATTATACACATTTTTTCGATTTAAAATGATTTTTAAATGATTTATTGAAGAAAAACTGGTTTAAAATACATTTAAAAATATTTTAAAAACCAATTCAACCGGCGGGTGACACTTGGCAGCACGCTACAGGCTCCGCAGACACAGGTGGCGGCGCTAATCATTGCCCTATGATCACGGCGGCGGCGAGACCCATGTGGAGCTCTCTTAAGTGAGTCAACAGAGCGCGCGGTCCGTCCGATTAAGCCATGCGGGAAATCAACGGCTGATATCGGTTTGAACGAAACCTCGGTCCAACCAAGAGCCCCCGCGGTCGGACGGTCGAACGAAACGGCAGGATCCAAACCTTTGATCGTAAGATCAACGGTCCAGATCACCCATAGCTTAAATCCACGAGATCTGAAACCCTAGAAACGAAAATAAGCGCGTTCTCTCAATCCCATGGTTTAAAATTGCGCAATATAAGGCTGGCCTTGAGGCCCGCCTTTGTGCAATTCCAGTAAAAAACGCCTCAATGCTCACGCCTCGAGTTTTTTTTATGAGGCTTGCGTCTCAACTTGGTTGAGGCCCGCATTGAATCCCGCCTCGCCTCACTGGCATAAGGCTTACGCCTCACGCTATATATATTAAAATTTACATAAATCTTGAAGTAAATGTCTGACATTGGACTCTATAGGAAAGGAGGAAGGGGAGAGAGTAGTTCACCATAATGATGATACAAATGAAGAACCCCTTAGTGATTACAGTGCTGATGACTTATGAGTTCTTGTGTGATATGTCATTATTATTTATTGTTGGAAATTGGAATTATATGTTAATGAAAAAAATACTGAGATTTGGGAAAGATAGAATTTTGAGTTGAACTATATTTCATGTTGTCTTATTATTGAGATATTTTGATTTCACTTCATGTCTTGTGCTTTTTTATGTTTTATATTATTCGCTCATTAGCATATAAAAAAATTATCATTTTATGTTTACGCAATCTTTTGATTTTGAGGCTTACGCCTCAAAACGCCTTGAGGCTTACGCCTCGCCTCACGAATAAAAACACCTCAATACCCGAATACGCAATTTTAAACATTGCACTCAATAGATTTTTATGAAATTTTAAATCTAAAATCTAGGCATGAACAGAAATCATGGGGGACCAAGCATGCGACTTAATATGCGGTTTACAAAAAGTTATTTAGATCATTATTCTATCTAGGGCTTGAGATTTTATCGAAAATACCTAATAGATTTGGGAGATCTCTGGCGTGTTGCACTTATAGACTGTCCACACTCCTAGTTGTAGAAGAAATCGTGCTTCGAAATGCGATGAATCGATCGCAAAACATCTTGGAAATTTCAAGCCCTTGGGTCGCCGAAGAACTCGGCGGCGGCGGCTTGGGGTGATCGGTTTGGGTTGGAAAAGGTAAGGGGAGGTCGTGGAAACTCTCACACCAAATCTCAAGGCTTGAGGAGGTCTGGAGAGAGAGAGCTAGCCAAAAAGTCCCTTTTGAAACCCTAAACATGGGTATTTAAATGCATGGACTCCAAGGGAACGACCAAGATTCAACCAAGAGTTGATTTGGAGAGAATTAAGCTTGATTCTCACGGGATTTGAATAAGGGACCATTAAAAGGGCCTTAAATGCACTTGATAGGCTCTTAATGGGCTTAAATAGGTCATTTTGACCTATTTAAGCCTTGGGTTAACCAGGTCAATGGTTGACCTAGTCAACCCAGCCAAATAGGTCCAAGGGATCAGTGGATTGAGCCATGGATAGGTTTGAATAGGTTTAAAACTAATTTGGGCTCAAAGGGGCAAAATGGGTCAACCTGGGTTGACTTGGTCAACCAGGTTGACCCAGGGCATGAGTCTGAGCTCAAGAGACTTGGTCTGACCCATGGAGCCCAGGGGAGGTGAGAGGTTGAGCCAAGGATCTCTGAAATCGATTTGAAATCAATTAGAAGGTGTTTGGGTCAACCCAAGTTTACTTGGTCAACCAGGTTGACCCAGGGCCTAGGTCTGGGCTCGACAGACTTGGCTTAACTCCCTGAACCCATTGGGATGGGTCCTGGGGTCTAGTCTGGTCAAATTTGACCAGATCAATTCTTTGACCTAGGTCTGGGGGAAAGACAGTTCAACACCAATATGATTTACTTGATAATTTCTTGAACCTACCTTACTCATCTTTATAGCTATGTTCATGAAACTACTAATTTGCGTTCTGCACTTTCCAATGAGGTTATCTTAACTTTTGTTGTTGCTTTTTCAAGTGATAGGTTGGGCTTAGGTACCTTTCAAGCGATGAGCGGTAGTTGACTAGTTTTGCGTTATCAGTTAGATGGACTTATCTTGTAATAATTAATTCATTGAACTCTGTTGTATAGAACTTTTAGTGTGGTCATTAAATCTTATCAATAGATTGTCTAAGTTTCATCTCTATGTTTTTGTCAAATTGAATTTCTTTGGTCAATTTATCTTGAAATTGAGTATGCCAACTTGCTCTCTCTTGTCAACCTTTCCACTCATCCAAAGGCTCAGCACAACTCTACCAATGGTTGAAGCCGATCCATCCCTTAGACTATCTGGGCCGAGCAGATATGACTATAAATCATGAACACTTCAAAATACTTGTTGGGTTCTAGTTGGGCACGAGTCAGACATGACACACCTCTGACATTGTAAAACCCCATAAGTAGAAAGAAGCTAAACTCTTAAATATCGAAACATCTTTTGATGTAATGGTTGAAATTTCATTAAGAAACTTCAAGGTTAAGCGCGCTCGTGTTGAAGCAATACTGGGATGGGTGACCTCCTTGGAAGTTATACCAACGGGACAAAACAGTGAAGTCATTAGGCCAAAGCAGATAATACCTCGATAATGAAGAGTTTGAGCTATTATAGAGTGGTATCAGAGCAATAAACTAGTAGGAAGATAGGAATTAAGTGTCATACAAGATAATGTGCTACGCCATGGGGGCATCTCTTGAACCCCAAAGTGCTACATGACATGAGCCACCACTTAAATCTGTAAGGTCAGGAATCCTATCTACATAATGGATGATTTTGGGATAATGATACTGAGGAGGACATCAGCTACTAAAGTGAGGAAGGTTGTAAAATCCCTTAAGTAGAAAAAGTTAAACTCTTAAACATCTAGATGCCTTTTGGTGTAATTGTTGGGATTTCATTAAGAAACTCCACAGTTAAGTGTGCTCGTGCTAGAGCAATACTGGGATGAGTGATCTCCTGAGAAGTTACACAAATGACAAAAAATCATGAGGCTGTTAGGCCAAAGCGGACAATACCTCAATAGTTAAGAGTTTAGATTGTTATAGAGTCACCATAACATGTGTTTGACATGCTTAAAATTGTATCAAAGATGTTTCAGGTCCAAATAAGAGAGAGACATAAGCCAAATGCATCCTTACATCGGGGTAAAGGGTAATATGTGCAAGATATATAAGGGACACATTGAAAGCCTTTTTTAAGTTCACTTCTTGTTTGTCTTCATTTTGACCATCTCAATCATTCCTATTCGAAATATATAAATCGTAGCCCAAGTGATATAACCCCACTTGTTCCCATAAGCAATCCTAACCACTCGCTTGTTTTTGTTAAAGAATTTAATGTTTGCAGCATTTGATAAACTTATTAAACTTATAAATCAATTCCTTCTCTCAATCATTTGGTCCTTTTACTTGTCCTATTTCAACATTCACAAATATTAGCCTTAGCTCAGGTACCATTCAATGTTTGTATCAATTCATCTCCCACTTGCTTGGGTGTTGAACTTTTACATGTTGCTCTTTAGATAGAGGTGACGAGCATTGGACCTTCTTTTTCTACTAAGAAGCAACTATTCATGTCTCTCCTCTAGTCAAGAATTAAGACTAAACGCTAATGACTATAACTTGCCTACACTAACCCTATTTCAATTATATTGTTCTGAATTTTTTTTATATTTTTCTTATTGAACTAGAAATTATAATTTTTTAAGATTTTCTTCATATTTTAGGTTCTCTCAAAAACATATGTATTAATGTTGCTTTTTAATAATGAGGTTTTATGATTTTATTCATTAGCAATCTAATAATCTTAAATTTTGTATTGTATAATAGGAGAACTATCTATGAATTAGTATGAATATAATTTGCAATGATATTATAATTCATTGCATGATAATTTTAATGAAATAATAGTATATGGTATTTTAATCATACATTTTATATCAATAATTTATAAAAGCAATATTGTTTACCTTTATGTCATTTTTGCTATGTTTGTGTCATATTGTGTCCATGTCGTAGTGTGTTCTATAAGGCTTTTCACAGCCTAGTAGGATGGGCAATGATGCATTGCTTAGACTGTACCAATTGGGATAATTCGGTAAGGTCTGACCAAACTGTCACAACCCTTTGGTTGGGCTTGGTCATCCGGATTTGGGCTGACACACCACGTATCAATCATCAAACCTGTGATCATCTTTGATTGATAGGGGCAGTCTCAAGAAGCTTTCAATTCATATCCATGAAACTTACATTATGTTTAAGAAATTGACAGGGAAATTTCAGCTCCAGAAGACATCATACTTTAATGTTTAAATATTTAAATCCACATCAACCATCCGTTAAATTTAACTGCAATCCATTACTTATAAGCTCCTCTATAGTCCTGAACATAAAAATAGAATCAACCAAAAGCCCTATAAGAATCCTTCCCCGTTGATTAACTTGCATTTGATCGACACTATATAAATAACAGAAAAAGAATGGTAGAGTTGTAGATGCAGTGAGAGACCATCGTTACCCAAGTAAGAGAACTAGAGTAGTCAGTAACAGATCAATACAATTCATAAGAAATTGCCTTCCAACAAGATCCAGCAAAGTCTAAACTAATAAAAAACAATGATAACATAAGGAATTTGACAAAAGAACATCCTAATCAGAAAGATCAATAACCTTAATACTTCTTAAACCAGCAACGACAATGCCATGCTCAGGGTCTTCTCTGAGTTCGAGGTGCCCAGATGATTTTTCAAGTAAATCATAAATGACCTGGAATAGGACAGAAAATATGATATTTTCGCCAATATTGCTGTCTTATGAGATGGGGCAAGGATGATGAAATGCAATTCAAAATTAATTTGGGGATTCAAGAATCAAGCAAAACCATTGATTATATCGAAATGAAAAGCATACCTCATTGTACACTTCAAGGTAAGAGCAAGAGACTTCAAAGTTGTCTGAACTCCTATCATTCTTGATAAGTTCAAAGATGGTGTTTAGGCTAAGAACCATGAGTCCGGGATCATTTTGAGTCCCAACCATAGTATAAGTTTTCCCACTGATAAGAACATGGAATAAAATATTTCAAAAGAGGAAAAAAGTAAATTGCTCGCTTTAAGCAGAACTAAATGTGAAGCTTTTAGTCATTATATCTAACCTAAGCTATCATAAATAAGATTGTCTATAATTTTAAAGGTTAAACAAAAGATAAAAAAGGAACAAAGACTCGAACCGATGAGAGAAAATGACATACAAAGAATGAAGAACCAAACAGAAGTCATAAAGCCATGGATATTATGAAAAAAAATTTAAAGCAATCAACTCCACTTCCTGAAAAGAATCGCGCTAAAAATTAACTTCAAATTTAATAAAAATATCTCGTACAGTACTACATTAATCTGCAGTCCTGAACAGAAAACTCTTATCTATTCCCCCAAAAATTCTCATTCTATAGATCCGAAAACAGCCTAAATCTAAGTTTACTACTGATACCCAAGTATGCACATTAATTCAGTAATTTAAGGACTGTTTATTTGGATATCTTCAAAATACATGCATTTTAGAATTGCATGTTAGTACTTATTTCCTGTACAAAATATCTGCTTCTCGCTACAACAAAACTACATCCTCTTTTCACAAGTAATTATTGATCCCCGACATGCACTAATTCGCTCAAAGAATAGTATAATCAGGCACTCCTCACTCAAATTGTATGATAATTGCACTAAGTCGAAGGGGGTGAAAAGCCAAAGGACAAGAATAACAATTATTTTAAAAAAAATTCATTTCATTGCAAAATCTTTTTCAATACAAGCAATCATCTGCAAGTATGTGCAGGAAAAAACACAACATGATTATTAAATAATTATGAGTGCCCTTGACCCACTCTACGTTTGCCTCTAAGGGCTCCCACACGGAAAGTCCTTTGCAGGACACTTTGTCGTAACTTTTGTGCTCTCTCTTGATGTCAAGGACTTCAGCATGGTCTTCCAGCCTCGAATAGTAGTCTCTCAATACTGAATATAGGACGTGCTTTATCAAGATGGTTGAGATCTCATGCAACCTTTGGGCAAATAATGGTGAAATACATGTTGTAGAGTCATGGAGCGCTATCAAGCATAGATGCCCTTGCCTCACCTCAACCATGATTGTGATCTCCACATTCTCATTCTTCATTTATACCCAAAATTCATATATCTCAGGGTCTACAGTCCACAAAACTGCCTTCATGTATACTACCTGGCACCTGACACTCTCCAATCATGGCACAACATTTCTTACACGCCAGTTTTGCTTGAATTCCACTTGGCACTTCACTCACTTCAGACAACAGTCAATCTCTTCGATGCACCATTGCAAATTATCCTCCTTCCATTCTTGTAGAGAGAAAAGGTTCATTCATTCCAACAAGAGATTTCAAGACGTCCTTGGTCCAACAAGAGAAAATGCGCGCTCTAAGTTGAAGGAGGACCAGTAGATTCCTCAAATAACATAAAGAATTCAATTCATCTTCTATTAAGAGCTTTGAGATTCATAATCAGTACTAAAAAAAGTGCTTGAAAGGTAAGGGATTTATGATCTCAACAATGCTAAGCAAAAATTTCCCAATAATTTGGCATCCTCTTGATTATCATAATTGATTGATAAGATATTTTAGTTAATTCATCTAGTGATGTCATAATGAATATAAAGACTTTTTTAGACATTAAATTAAAGGATATTCCCAATTCCCAATCAACGTTCTCAAACTCATTTTCAACTATAAGATATAGACCTCTCCCATCTAAGAGAATGGAGTACAAAGGATGATTGACACTTTAAATGTTGAGTGCTATAATGAACTTGTAACAATATACTTATAAGGACTAAAGATTTCTCAAAACTTAAAAGTTGGCATCACGAAGGTTGTAACAATGACTCCTTAATACCCAAGAAACCCTAACCCATTTCTTAAATGCTATTTTGCTCCCTCTTGCTTTACTTTCTAGCTCTTGCTTTACTTTCTAGCGAGTGATGATTAGGCTATAGCTTATGTTCCTCGCTCACCTCTTCTTCTTCATCGATTGTGGTTTCTAACTTTATAAGGATTATTTTTATTTTTTTTAACTCCCAAGTCTCACGCTTGGTCACCACTTCTTCTGGTTTTCCTTTCTTCGTAAGATCATTGCATTTATTGGATTGCACTAGTTTTAGTAATTGCAAATCTGCAATTAATCATCTCTTTAACATTCCATGGGAGTACTCATTTCATAATATGGTTTATAGAATAACTAGATTGAAGAAAATAATTTGAAATCAATTTTCTTTAGATCTTTTGGCTACTATGATTTGAGAATTGGGCGCTTCCAAGTATTGTGAATTTTGCGAAAAATATAATTTTGGCTATTGTAAATATTTTTAGAGTTCCTGGCTCTTGATTGATTTTATGGAATGCTATATCATTTACTATTGCAATTCTCAGCCAAATTGCAATAAAAAAGCTCCATTCAAGTCGGCTTGATTTTCAAATGTGACAGTCTTTCAAACCAAGATCAATCATAAAACGAGCTAAGCTAGCTCGAAATTGAATAAATTAAGCCACGAATTGATTTTGAGCCTCTTAGCAATCCATAAAGCTGCTTTCATGCCATCCCTAGGCCAACTCATTAATAGCCCTACTTAGAGATGTTATTTTTATAAATGAAACTAGTGACATCCATATAAGAATGGAGAAATTATAGACATCAATTTACACTCACCTTCCTATCATAGTAGTTTGTAATATTTATAATCACAATTGGTTAAAATTTTTGAATGTGCTCGGATTTCCATCCAAATCGCCTATCTCAAGTACTTACATAACCATATGGCTTTAATTTGGCATAACAATTCCATTGTGGGCTCCAAAAATTTCTCACCCATCCTCTCTGCGCCAGCCCTTTCTTGTTTGTTTATGTGGGCAAGGAGAGTTTTAACGAGCTTAGGTCAAGGGATAAATTTTCAGAAGACAGATTGAGTTTGTAGATAAGACACTATCCAAAGATTTCACTCTCATTTTGCAAGGACTTTATAATCTGAGCTTTGATTTCCAATAGGCACAAGCCCCTATAATTAATTATCTCTCCTGAAAACAAGGGAGAATTTTTTATTAAGGCTAGTCGTAAGATATGTTGCATAGGTTGCAAACCCAACATATAATAGCAACAGTTTTAGAGTTTTAATTTAAATTTGAATTTTGAAGTTTATCACCATATCAGCAGCCATGGATTGCTTCGTCGAAAAATATCTTGTAGACATGGGATAGTGTTTGTCTTAAGGGGATACATTTAAATCCACCTTAGCTTACAAAAAAGACTTTGTGTCTATCGAACATATCATATGATTTATTACTCAAGGGTTTGACGTCGTTAGAGAACATAAACGCTTTAGCCGTTATTGTAATATAATGGTACCATTTTGCAGCAAAGACAGGCCCGATCAAGATCTCATGGTTCTGTCGTCCCAGGCTGTCATGGTCCTTGGTCTACTTAATCAGAGGAGGTAGTCGACCCAACCTGACAGAAGACATCTTATCAGCAGCCATGGATTGCTTCGTCGAAAAATATCTTGTAGACATGGGATAGTGTTTGTCTTAAGGGGATACATTTAAATCCACCTTAGCTGACAAAAAAGACTTTGTGTCTATCGAACATATCATATGATTTATTACTCAAGGGTTTGACGTCGTTAGAGAATATACACGCTTTATCCGTTATTGTAATATAATGGTACCATTTTGCAGCAAAAACGCCCCATCAGAGGGCACGTGCCATGTCCCTGCTGGCAAGAGAATATTTGAGGATGAATCTTAGTGATACACCCGCATGATATTTGCTAATTGTGAGTTAAGGTTAATTTCAAATTTATCACTCCTGACAAACAATTACGAAAAGTGGATGGGTTTTAGTTTTATGTTTTTAGGTGATAGATTTCATTTTAAGAATTTATATTTTTATTGGTTTTAAGATTTGACCCCTCTGATTAAGATTATCTGTCAATGAGGCCATCATCGGGGTGACGTATGTGCAATTTCATTTTATTGGTTAAACCTTGTCAACTCTGTCAACTTGCCGATAAAGGATCGGGTTCGTCGTCAGCTTTATGTTTTTATTAGCAAATCTTTATTTGACTAGACCTTGAAGGCCTAATATGAACATATAAAATAAATATCCCAATCAGCATTGAGACCGTATATTTGTTTGACAGTTCGAGTCGTGTCGACTCTTATTTATTCACATAGGATCGGGCTCAATCTTAAGTTCATTTTTTAACCAGCGCAGCATCCTCAGAGGTCATATGTGTGCATGATGCATTCTTCACGCATTTGCCATTTCAATTTGTATGCAGGTTGTTCTATGCATGATGGATCACCTGTTATCGTTTGCAATTGTTACTACAGACACTTGCCCCTTCCTACAGGCGAGCTATTGTGTGCATCACAAGTCCTCTAGTGATGCTCATAGGCGGAATTGTTGCATACATTTTAAGTTTATATGCTCTGCCATATCCTTACTGTTTTAACTTGCGAGTGAGCAGTTGTAGGCACAACGGGCCTCCTAGAGCTACTTATAAGCAGACAGAAGGCGTTCGTAGGCGCTTAAATGAAATCTTGGGCATTTTTCTGAAATAAAATTATTTGCCTAAATGGATCATATTTAAAAATTTTAAAATGCCCATTTTATATTAAATATGATCCCCTAAACTCAAATGCTACACCCTGCATGTGCTCCGGTCAACATGTTAAAAGTATAAACACCAATGACCGAGAATGCTGCGCAGGGTCAAATGTATATTTTATACTTAAACTAAAAATAACCCGCATGTGCTCCAATCGTCACATTTAAGTTCCAAATCCAACGATTCGAGAACTGTGCGGGTCTAATATTCAAGTTTCATCCTCCTCTTTAAAAGGATTGGAGTCGACATGACTTGAAATATAAAATACATCCCAATATCCTACGAAAATACAAGTGACTTTGAAATCACCACGATGATGGCCGTGTTGATCGGAAATCTCAACCGGAGGGGTCAAATCTCAAATCTCAAATACAATCAAATCTCTGAAATAAAATTTATCATCTAAAAACTTAAAACTATAAATTGTTCCCTTCCTGCAACCGTTTGCCGGGGGTGATAAATTTGAAATTAATCTCAGCTCACAAAGAGCGAATGCGTATTGGGTGTATCACTTCGATTCATCCTCAAATAGTCTCTTGCCAACAGGGACGTGGCATGTGCCCTCTGATCGGGTGGTTTTGCTGCAAAATGACACCATTATATTATGATCACGGCCAAAGCCCGTATGTTCCCTAAAGGCGTCAAACCCTTGAGCGATGAATCATAGGGTATATTCGATAGGTATCAAGCCCTCTGTCAGCTAAGGTAGATTCAAATATATCCCCTTAGACAAACACCAACCCAGTTCTACAAGGTATTCTTGGACAAAGCAACCCATGGCTGCCGACAAGGTGCCTTCTGTCAGGTTGGGTCGACTACCTCCTCTGACTAAGTAGACCAGGGATCATGACAACCCGGGACGACGGAACCATGGGATCTTGATCGGGCTCGTCCTCATTCCCCCCACCACCAATTTTAAGTTTATGGTGATAATTCTAAATTCTAAACTTCAAAATTCAAATCTAAGATTTAAACCCTAAAATTATTGCTATTATACGATAGGTTCATAACCTATGTGACATCCTTAACAACTAGCCTTAATCGAAAGTTCTCTCCTATTATCGGGAGGGGTAATTAACTTTAGGGGCTTGCGCCTCTAGGAAACCAGAACTCATATCAAAAAGTCCTCACAAAATTAGGGCGAAATCTCTGGGTAGTGTCTTATCTAAAACCCAATCTGCCTTCTGAAAATTCCTCCGAAACTAATTTAGTTAAAACCCTCTGCTGTTATCGTCACACAAACACTCAAAATAAAATTGACGAATGGTACGGAGAGGCCGGGAATACACAAGATAAAATGGGAATTTTCGGAGCCCAAAGGCATAGAAAAAAATGACCCCATACGTTTATTAATTTTTTATATGAAAATGGAATAAGATGCACTTTTTCAGCTCCTAAAACTCCCCAATAGAATGGAGTTGTTAAAAGAAAAAAATAGGAATTTGATTGAATTGAGTAGATATATAATGGACAAATATAAGTACTAAAATACTTTTAGATAGAAGCTTCTAATACTACATGCTATGTGATGAATAGAGTCTATTTTAGACCAATTTTAAATAATATCCCATATGAATTATTTTTTGGGAAAAAATCTAAGAGTAGTCATATTCATATTTTTGGATGTAAGTGTTTCATTCTAAATAATGGAAAATAATTTCTAGGAAAATTTGATAGAAATTTGATGATGAAATCTTCTTTGGTTAATCAATTTATGGAAGAGTATATTGAGTTTTCAATAAGAGGAAGTTGATTGCAGAAGAATTAGTTCATATTATCTATGGTGATAACTTAGTTGTATCTATTAAAAATGATGTTATTGAAGATTATTTGTATGGGTTTAAGAAGATAAATTTAGAAGAAAAAGTTGATGATTCATTGCTTAAAGAATGGAAGTTGATTCATTGCTTAAAGAATGTAAGTATAATAAAAATCATCTTAAAAAATTAGCCAGAGGATATCCAACCCAAAGAGTTATGACTGGAAGACATAATAGGGATATAATAAATCATTCAGCATTTATATGAGATTGAGAATAAGAATTTTTATGAAACTTCGATAGATAATTTTTTTATCATTACTATGGAAGAAGTGTCATTTTCAGTCTTCCACACATCCTGTATTTGAAGACCTAAGGAAAATAAAGGTACCTTCCAGTTGAACCATATGCAAAAACAGTTGCATTTAGGCCTTGGATGACCCCAGCAATTGTTGAACGCACACCTTTATACACATCCTGTAAATACCAGGCAGCATGATGTTAACATAAATTAGTAATAAAAAATGGTATAGATATATAAATGGAAATTTTTTGTTTAGAAGAAAGTTAATGTTTCATTACATCGTCCGCATAATTAAGTTGAAAAGCCTTCTTATTCTACAAGAAATCTTAACACAAGAAAACTTTCATGGATAAAAAGTTTCAATGAAAAACTTTATAAGCCGGTATCTTGTGACAAATTTTATTCAATAATGTATGCATTCTATATGAAATTTTCAATGATGGACACCCAAAATGCTTCTTCGCCTGTATACTTGGTCTATTTTTATGAGACGACCTTTCGTATTTATCTGTCAAGTAATTTCCTGCAATATTCATCACTAATGATTTTAACTTTACTCTTGTGATCTAACATAATGCACTCCCATCATTGTAGACTGATAACCGAATGCTCAGTTGAAAAATTCACTAAAAATATGTTATTTTGTGTTTGCATACAACCTTCAAAGTCTTTAATTAAAAAAAAATCTATTTTTGAAAATGCAAACTCTTGAGACTGTATTTACAAAGGGTAATTATAAATCTCAAGCACAAACCAATCCTCTACATACAAGGGTATAGTCGACAAGATTTGTAATGCAAGTAATGTTTAAACAAACTTAAATAATGCAAGCATTGAACATAATCCTCTATCAAAAAATGGGTAAAGTCAATAAGATTCCAAGTAACAAAATGCAAACATCATACCCAGACCCCCGATAAAAGATCTTAATTGGACGGGACTCTATTTTCAAAATTCACAAAAATTTAAAGCAAATTATTTTGGGCCCAAGTTCTCAAAAAAGTCCTCTAACAAGGAGGTTTTACCAGCAAATGGTGGCACTAGCAGTTATGATTGGGGCCCTATGATCAAATGGTTTCTTCATAAAATGATATCGTTATATTACGAATACAGCAAAATCCTGAATATTTCCTAAGGGCTCCAACCCCTTAAGTTGTAAATCATAGGGTGTACATGATAGAACATAAAATCCTCAAAAGCGACAATTGTCGAACTTAAAGAAGGCATGGAGAATAAGAAGGGTCAAGCAACTACTTTCTCAAAAGGTTGTTTATATAAGGATCAAGCATCTATTCGAACTCCAAGGGTATTTTGGTCCAAATAGAACTTTCTGACATATTTTTCAAGAAATAAAATAGTTAGTATATTTATCTAATTTTAGGCATTATGAGGCATATAACGTTGAATTTCCTAAATACCTATCATTTGTTTTACTTCAAACCAAACTTGAAAAACCAAAATCCATACATTTAGTACACAAAAACAATTAGACCCTAAGACAATCGAGATCGAGATCACTCTACCAACTTAATTTCTCACACACAATAATAACAGGCAGCACAAAACGACCTACCAAGATTTCTTTCTTTATTATGAGAAAAATTATACATGGAGAAAAGGAAATACAAACAAATAATAAGAAACAATATGTTGACGTTAAATAAATATATTGAAAACATAAACCATGACAATAAAATCAAACAATTACATGAATCTGCATACCGAATTTGTACATGCATGCCCAAAAACATGGTCAAAACAGTATCTTTTCTCTTTAGTTCTGTTTTGAATTCTGTCAAGGTAATCCTTGGACAAGTCCGGATCCAAAACAACTACATTCTGCCACAAGTAGAAAAAGAATCAATCAGCACATTCCATATGAAACTGCATAAAATCAGTGAAACTTTTTGACAGCAAAGTGCTCATCCTACCTTATCATCAATAACTTGAATAATATTCCTATTTCTGCGTCGTTCTGCTTCAGTCAATGGCCTGCATTTGACAGCCACCTATCACCAACAAAAACTATCAGCCAAAAAGCTCCCAACCTCAACATCCTACATAAACATCCAAGAACTAACCAGCAAGGTTGCAGTTTTCTTCGAAGCAGGAGCTCTAATACTCGGCATCCCTAATCAAATAACAAATCCCAGCTACCAAACTCCGTATCACAACAAACAAAAAGCACAAACAAAGAATCCACTACATTTCTACTCCCAAAACTCTGCTCCTTTCAGCTGCATCTTGTATCTCCCCGTCTACATTTAGAATCCATCGGAGTAGAACCCAAAGAAAGCGCCAAACCCTAAATATCTCATCAAGCTCCGAATCCACAAACCTCAAACCCAGCAACTCATCAAATCTCCAACGCCGCCACTGGCCCACTTCCAAACCTCTCACAATCGGAAACTCCTGCCTATCACTTCTTACCACTTACAGAAGATCCCGCGGCTTCCAACCACAACAGGTCTTCTTGATTTCTACATTCCAAGAAGCTATTAACTCAGCAATGAGCTGATGAGGCATCTAACAACGGAATGCATGAGTGCGGAGGCTTCACGGCGGCCGAGGAGACAACCTCAGCTGTCTCCGGCGATGTATGCCGCAGTTCCGGCAGTCGACAAGATTCGCCTCCCGGCGATCCACTCGACGAGGCGACGCTATCCGTTGCTTTAAAAAATTAAAAAAGATATATATAAGAAAATAATAAAAGAGATGATTAATACTTCCTTTCTGGACGTTTGTACACGAACGTGATTGTGCGTGATTTGAAGGGGGTTGGTGACGAGGAGGAAAATGCCACTGCTATTTACTTAAATTACGGGGGATGCCATTCTTAATTTCTGTATCAGTGGTCGGTGGTTCAGATCCCTGCCCTGCTGTGCATGCAGTCATCCTATTTAATTAAGCAATTAATTTTTTTAAGAATTACTGCAGGCGGATTAGTTGTAAATTTATTTTAGGCATTTAGGCTACTTGTAAATTTATTTAGTAATTTAGGCTTATTTTGGATAGCTTTTTTAGGCTTCGTTTGCCGGCTTTTTTATTTTTTTTTCTTGAAACAATTTTTAGTCTAATTTTTTTCAAACAAAATATTTATGCTAAAAAGTTGCTTTAAATAGTAATAAGAAAGCTTATCAAATAAAGGAAAATTTATTTTGTGCGGTCACCAAATCGCGTCTAAAGACGAATGAGAATGTGCCACGTTATTTTTTTCTATGTACCTCTATTATGTAACTCTCGGTACCGAATGACGTGGCGTGTTTTGATTCGCCACTTGACCGTTCTGTGACAGCAAAATAATTTCGTGGTACTATTCTACTTTTTAGATCATAATTAGAATTTTTATTTAACCATTATATTTTCACTGTTTTCAAAAAAAAATTTATATCAAAAATCAACTTTCAACAACACTTTTAAAATTTTACTTTTAGCTTTTTAAAGCAGTAAGAAAGTTGTCTCATATTAAGCCTTAATAATTTGTTATTGGTTTTTTAGTAATTTTATTTTTCTATAGGTTTGAACTTAGGCTACAATTGGAATAATTTTGTTGTTGTTTTATAAAGTTATTGTAGATAAAATAACTTTTTAAATTGTTATAAAAATAATTTTTAATATGAAAATTTTTTCAGAAGCAGCAAAAAAAAGTAAAACATTATTTGACCCTCACCAAGCAATGAGTTTGCAAAATTAAGCTAAAAAATAATGTTAGATATGCACAATTTGTCCAAAGTTTCTTTTTTTTTTTTTATAATCAAAATTAAGAAGAATCTTATTATTTGTTGTAGGCATCTTGAAGTACATAGCCACAAAGACTTATTTTTTTTTTTGGAAAATTTGGGGCCTAAGCCCAATTCATTAATAAATGAAGAAATTACATAAAAATAAGATCTGCAATCACCACAAGTCGGCGGCAGACCTCAAAACCCTATCAGCACAAAAACAACTGCTTAATAAAAGGAAATCTAAAACAAAGAAAAAATAAGACAAAATTGGAAGGACTCAGAATAGCAATGCTCAATTCGATCTTCCATGCAGCAAAATTCATCCAAAAGGATGTGTGGGTCCCCTGGTTGCCAAGAGATCGTCCAAGGGGATGGCTAAAAAGATTGCGTACATCATCGCCCTTCAAAATAGTAAGACCTGGTTGCCCAAGAGGACCATCCAGGATTTGTCCAAGAAGCAGCAGGGTCAGAAACCAGTCCAGCCTCCACCGAAACAGCACGGTGAACAGAGCAGAAAATCAAAGCAGAATTATGCCACAAAGACTTTTCACATAAAATTTACGCAAACAAACATAATTTATATTCAATGAATCAAAAAGCATAACGTGATATCATATATTGGCCTTTTCTAAGCTTCAATATACAAACATAATTTTTATTCAATGAATAAAAAATAATAAAACAATATCATATTATAGATCTTTTAATAAGATTAAATAGCTTTTAAAAATTTTAGGAATTAATAAAATACTATTATATAGATCGATAACTTACCATAATATTAAAAAATAAAATATAAGAAATGAAATAAAATTTAAAGTGTTATGAAATTTTGAATTGGTCAAATAAGGTAAATAGAGTAGTTCTAAACTTAAGCAATTTATAATAAATTATATAATGTATGTTGATTGACAGAATCATTTATTTGTTCGATTTCTTGCATTTTTTTTTTCTTTCATATAAATCTGATTGAAATGATTTTTGTCCATTAAAGTATATTTTCCTATACTTTTAATTGGTGTGTTATACTATCAATTGGGAGAAAATATTATGTGCGGACACCGGACTGTCCTGAGGCAAATCAGAACGTGCCACATCACCCGGTACACAACCGTGATACAAAACAAACAGGTGATGTGGCACGTTCTCATTCGCCTCCGGATGGCATCCATATCCGCACAGAATAATTTCACCATCAATTGGAGGCTGATTTGAACTATTACTAGATTGTTGTTAGAAATGGATATCAAACACTTTCTAGAAGAATTTGTAATATTAAGTTAAGTTAATGATAAAAAAAAAGTTAAGTTAATGATGCCTTATAATTTAAGATAGCTAGTGTAATTGCACGTGCATTAAATGCACGTGAATAAAATTTAAATAATTAAGTAATATTATAAAATTGTGAATATTATTTAATTAATTAAAAAATTTTAGAAAGAGATGTAATAAATAAAATTATCATTACAAGTAATTGTAACAACAATTATACTCCTAATTAGAGGTGTCAATTTCGGGTCACGAGTTGGGTTCGGGTCGAACCCGAAACTGACCCGACACTATTCGGATCAACCCGAACCCGAACCCATATAATATATAAATACTGTATATTGCATCAATCTCAAAAAATATTTAAAGACTTTCAAAATCTTGATAATTGTTGTCAAACTGCAATTATAATTTATTAATTAATATTTATTCCTAAATAACTATCAAGCTTCTGCAAGTTTCATATTTGGTATTTTAAAAACTAAAAAAATTAAATTAATTAACTAATAATTATCACATTATTAATTTATTTTTTTTATTTAAAACCTAATTAAATTGAAATGAATAAACTTAAATGATTGAGATTTAAAATAAAAAGAATTAAAGGAATGATCAATATTTTATTTAAAAAAGCTCAAATCATTTTTATAATGGTAGCATAGAAATATAATTAATGTATATAATATTTTAGATTATGATAATGATGTGAAGTTATTTTTATTAATGAATACAAAATTATTAATCTTAATAATTAATATGAAGCTAGAATTATAATTCATTAATTCACATTTATTTTTTAAAAAATATTAAACTTTGTAAATTTCAAAACTGATATTTTGAAAATAAAAAATTTAAAGTAATTAATTAATTATTACATTATTATTAATTGACATTTATTTTTCAATAATACAGGGCATTTGGAAAACAAAAAAGTGAAAATAATTAATTTATTAATTATTATATTATTATTTAGATATTTTTTATTAATCCTAAACATAGGATGAAAAAAAAGAATAGTAGTAATATTATGTTTCAATTCATTGATCAAATTTGGTCAAAATCTCCACAAGAATATTAAATACATAAATATAGCTCGCAATGTGAGTTAAAATCTTAAAAAAAAAATGTAAATTATAAAAATCAGATGAATAATATGCAATTTTATATCTATACTAACATTTGAAAGCTTTAAATTTATACTGTTTAATAAGCTTATTTCAATATTTAGATAGCCAAAAAAAAAAAGCTCCAAAATATTTTAAGCCAAAAAAAAAAAAACTCACATGATGATAGAAATAAGGTGCATGATAAAAATGTCACCATCACCTTGATCATTTAGAAAGGTATTCCTCAGTGGATATATGAGTATGTAGATTGACTTCAAAAAGGAATCTTAGTTATGCAATTTTTTTAGAAGTTAACTTATCGGAATAGATGATAAATTCTCTGACACTAATGATCGTTCACATTATTCAAACACAGATATATACAATATGTACCAATAATGCAAGCATTAGTAAAAAAATAAACAAAATTCATGTAATATTAATCAAATAAAACAATTTATTTAACATATTAGTGTAGAAAGTAAGAGAGCATACGCAACCAAAGCTAGAAAGATAAAAGTAATTTTTCATATATTAAAGAGAGAGTACAGTATCCTTTATATAGACAAAATACAGAGTTACAGCCAGAGGACGGCATAGCAAAGGATGTCGTTTGATGACATGGCAAGATCTTGAATTGTAGCCGTTCAGGTGTAGTTTACAATTAGGATATATTATTTAATATATTAAGAGAATATATAGAGAGAGAATATTTGAATCAAAATAATAATGATAATAAGAAACTATTAAGCAAAAAGAATAAGAATATAAATTTGTTGGTCTCAATAAGCTTAAATCTACATATGGACAAAGTAATTCGTACATGCAATTTTTTTTTAATATTAATCACGTTAATCACCTATACATGTAAGAGAATAAGATTATAAGTTTGTTGGTCTCAAGCAGCTTAAATCTACACATGACAAAGTAATTCGTACATGCAATTTTTTTTAATAATATTAATCACCTATACATGAAATGCGAAGTCCACCGAGGGAGCCTTGGAGGCGAGTATTGGGTTGATGGGTTAGGCAAGAAGAATATGGATGATTTCGGTGTTTCGCAAGAGATAGGTTCGATGGTCACATGATGAGAATCTGAAAACCATGAAGAGCAAAATAGGAATTAAAAAAAGGATGAAAAATTATTCAGTTATTCATAAAAAATGAATTTATTTAAACCTTCAAAAAAATGAATAAGACGAACAATCAATGCTAAGACATAACAGAAGGAGATAGGAACCCTAAATTCTTCCATATGTTAGCTAATATGAAGAGAACTAAGAGTCAGATTCATAAAATTGTTGATGATGATGGCAACTCTATTGTCTCGGATGATTTAATTTGTAAGTCTGGCGTTGATCATCTCATGAAGATTTTTAATAGTCACTGTATGTGTGCTCCTATAAGTAATCCTAATATTATTCCTAAAATTATTAATGAGGTTGATAACAATTTACTTTGTCAAATCCCCTATGGTGAAGAGATTTTCAATGTGATTAATGACCTTAATGGTGATGCGGTGGCTGGCCCTGATGGTTTTTCTATCAAAATTTTTCAACATAATTTGGATATTATTAAGGTGGATGTGATTGAAGCTGTGAAGGATTTTTTTAAG